TGACCTTTCTTCGGTATTTGCCTTTGGCCTCCTGCTGTGTGAAACACCCAGTGGCTACATTCACAGAAGCTATTATAGAGACAAGAATTAGCTTTGAAATCAGGCAGATCTTGGGCAAGTCTCAGCCTTTTAGAAGTTTAGTTTCCTCTTTCTTTCAAGCAGAGGTGACAGTCCCAACTATAGGGAATGAATGTGCTTCTGTTTTTATGGTGCCGAGGATCAAATCCAAAGTCCCATGCATGCAAGGCGATCATTCTACCCAGCTTCTGCAGAACTCCTGAACAGTGCCTACCTGCTCCATCACAAGACTCCTCTTATCTCCAGGATTCCTGAGCCGATTCTGGGGATTTCATGCTTAGCTAGTGCCTAGCACAAAGTAGAATCAGACTGGACCTTCTACAGCACTTACAGTTGCTACAGGAGATTATGGTGCTGCTCAAAAGAACTGCAAGCAGACCTTTTCCGGATCGTTGTGACCTTACCTGCCAGAGTGGGACAACACCTCTCTTCTGGGGCAACAGGAAAAGTTCCGGACCCCATCTGATACACAGTGCCAGAGCCATCACTTTTGTCTTCTCTTCTCTTCCTAACATGATATTGTGAGCATTTTCCCATTACAGTTAATGATGCCAGCCTGAATTCAGCCACTGTCACTTGCTAAGGGACCTGAGGCAAGCTGCTTAATTTCTCTGTCCCTTGGCTTCCTTATCTGTAAAATACGGATAATAAAATAGCATAGAATCACTCTGTGCCTCCCTAATACTTGTGTGTTGAAATCCTAACACTGTCCCTATATAGTATTTAGAGGCCTTTGGAAAGCACCAGGTCAGCAGGGCAAAGCCCTTGTGAATGGGTTCAGTGTCCTTATGAAAAAAGACCCCAGACAGTTCCTTTGTCCTTTCTACCACAAGAAGACAGTGAAAGGATGGAATCTGTGAACTAGGAAGAAGGCTCTTCCCAGACACTCTACAAGATGACATCTTGATCTTGGATTTCTTAGCCACCAAAAAAGTGAGAAGTAAGTTGGCATTGTTTCTAAGTATCTTAGTCTTTGCTATAGTAGTCCAAACAGTCCAGGACATAAGTACTTACTTGGTGAGATTCTGAGGGTTAAATAAAGTCACACAGATCTCTTAGTTCAGTGCCTGGCACATACAAACTCTTATCTGCTATTAATATCGGCTACACTATCTTGATAGCCACCCTGATAATTACGTTATATAATTAAATTGAAACAGATGTATTCTTTTTTTTCTAATGTTGGATATTTATGGTATTTCTCATTTTTATTTTTTTCTTTCATTTTTCTCTATTAAGAAATTTTCTACTCACTCCACATACTATCCACAGATTCCCCTCCTCCCTCCTCTCACCCCCCAGCCCTCTTTCCCAAGCCTCCCCACATCCCCACATCCCCCAAATCGAGGTCTCCCATGGTGAGTCAGCATAGCCCAGCACACTGAGCCTAGGCAGGTCCAAGCCCCTTCCCACTGCACCAAGGCTGTGCAAAGTGTCACACCACAGGCACCAGGTTCCAGAAGCCTGCCCATAGACCAGGGACAGATCCCGATACCTCTGCCTGGGTGCCCCCCAAACAGTTCGAGCCAAACAACTGTCTTCCTTATCCAGAGGGCCTAGTCCAGTCCCATGGGGGTTCCATAGCCACCAGTCCACCGTTCATGGACTTCCACTAGTGTGGCCGGTCATCTCTGCACGTCCTCCCATCATGATCTCCACGTCCCTCATTCAAAATGTTACTTATAAAATAAGTCATGTTGGGCATGATGTAATCCCAGTACTCAGGACACTAAGGTAGGAGACTATCATGAATTCTGGCCTAAACTGGGCTACACAGGGAGTTCCAGGCCAGCCAGGACTGCAGAGTAAAACTCTGTTTCAGAAAACTTAATAAAACAAGCCATCTTGTAGGTTGTGGTTTAGAGATAAAAATCAAAGCAGTGAATTAAAAAATGTGGGCTGGTGAGATGGCTCAGAGGATAAAGGTACTCATTACCATGCCTGGCAACCTGAGTTTGCTATGTGAAACCCATGTAGTGGAAGAAAAAAACAGCTCCTCCCCCAAATGTCTTCTGACTTCTAAGCATGCATGTGATCATGTGCATACACACAAACACCAACAAAATAAGTTTTAAAAAAGTAATAAAAGAGAATTAATGTTGAATGGAGTAAAATTAGTAGGTCTAAGTTATCTTACAGAGCTGGAGTGGTGGTTATATCTGGATGCCAGCACCTGGGAGGCTGAGGACAATCTAAACTACAAAGGGAGACTGTCTCAAAGTATTATCTTAAAGAAGCTCAACATTTCCTTGACATATTTCTGCTATTTCTGGATAATTGTCCCACCTGAGAAGCCCAGCATGAAACATCCTTATCTGAGGCACAGCAGGCCTGAATCACTCTACAAGGTCTTCTAGGCCTTTGCTCTGGGATCCTCCTGGCTAAAAAGTCAAATCAGCTTTTCTCCTCTAGTGGTGGAGAATCTCTGATACAGCACAGCTCAGGCCAACCCAGCAGTTTTTAGATACCATTTGGAAATGTCCAGTAGGGAAACTGTCAAGCCATGTCACCTGATCTGCAGTTTATGGGACAGAGGTTTCTGCAGACAGAGGTTTCTGTCTGTTAGTCTTTCAGCTAACAAAACTCAAGAGTTAGCAACAGCAATTGAAATGTGAACTGACATACAGAGTGCAATCTGTGTATCAGGCTGTTTAAAAAAAAAAAAAAAAGAAGTTCTGTTTGATCTGTTCAAGGAATTAATGGCCTCATTTTATAGACCAGGAAACTGAGGTTCAGAGAAGGTAAAGTTTTCCTCCAGGGAAATTTGATCATCAGAGTCTGTGGCTGGAAAGACACAAGCTTTCCCTGTGAGCACAACAGGGGTTCTTTCAGTTTAAACAGCATGGATTGGTGCTCACTGCTAGGCACTGGCATAGACAGAGCCTGAAGAAATAGAAAGAGGCAGGAGCATTAATCACAAGTTCTAGTACTAAGGATGATGAGTACCCAGAAGTAATTAAGTCATGTGGGTGGTTCATTTTATTTGTGGTACATATGTCTAAAAGCCATCATTAATCCTTTTAGGAAGAGGCAGGGGTTGATAGATCAGGGTTATAAACAAAGGGCAGTAGGGAAATGGGGGAGGGGGAGGGAATGAACTCCCACTCAGAAATTCAAGTCTCCTAGAGGATGTGGCATTTTGGTTGGGGTTAAGGAACCAAAAGAATACAGGCTGGGGGTGGGGATGCCATGTCCACTCCCTTACTAAAGACAAGTAAAACCAGAACCTTGGTCAGTGCTTACTAAATATTGGTGCTCAGAACAGTACATGGCTCTCTCATTTTGCACCCTCTTTCTTACATAAATAGGCCTAAAAAGACACACCCAGAGACAACCTCACATTCAAAAACAGAAACACAAAACACACACTGGTCCACATGCACACATTATTAATACATTAAAGATATATGAAAATTTATACAAGTTCTTATATTCACAGACTCACAGATACATACAATCTTCACAGAGAAACAAATGTGTTTATGCTTTCATACACAAGCTCGAACATATCCTCTCCCCACCCACTACTCATTCAGGCAAATAAATGCATGCTTTCGTTAACACACACGAGTTCACACACAAATCTCATCCTGCCTGTCTGGTTAGAGGCGAATGACTAATGGGAAACCATGCACAAAGGCAAGCATCCTACGAGAGGCCAGGATGGCTGCCTTTAGCAGGGAGGCAGGTCGGATGGGATTAAGCCATCAGATGACAAACTTGATCTGCCAGACTGCACCTAGAAGTTGCTCAGCTTAGGCTTCAGAGTCGGACACTGCACTGGATCCTGGGTGATGGTGCAAGTGTGCCTGCCTGATTTCCAACTTCCTCCAGAGTTTAATGTCATCCAGGGTCAAGCTCTGCTATCAGCTCCACCCCAATGCCGGCAGCAGGCTGGAATCTCTGGGGATGCAGAGGCAGTGCGGGCTGCTTTCCAACCTTAGGCTTGTCCTGACACAGTACAACCCCAAGTGGTTAGCATTAATGATAGTTTACAACGGTGGGGCCAAGCACTGGGTTAAGCCCTTCATGTACATGATTTCATTCTCACAACAGCTCTCTGAGGGGGATGGGGTGTGTCCTCTCATCTCACCATTTAAGTGGTTGAGAACACTGCTTGAGCCACAAAACCACTCTGCAAGAGAGGCAAGGAGCTGAAATTCAACCTAGTCCTATCCTATTCTTTTCGAGGTTCGGGGCATAAAGTGTGCACGCGAGTGTGTCTCCCCCACGCCAGAAGCTTGCACCTGGTGCTTATGGTGAGACTTTAGACTGACTGTCCCATCCAGTTTAGTCTAGCGCCAGATCTCTAGCAGGTGCCTGCTGGGGGTAACTGGGGTTGGCTTGCTGAAGCTGTCAGCAAGAGCTTCAGTTCCCTCATCTCTGAAATGGGGGTGGCAGTGCTGACCCCGCAGTGGGGGTGGGGGGACAGGCTCTTTTGAGCCACTGAGTGAGTGCGGAACTCCCATCTACATCACCGCTGCCACCTCCCGCGCCCCTAGCAGGGATTCAGCCCAGTCTCCGCCCGAGCCTGGATGCCGCTCGGCGTCCCCATTGTTCAGGAGGGCGGAGATGCTGCCCACAGGAGATTCCCCGCCCAGGGTCCAGCTCGCAGCCCAGTGGAACAGATGACTTGGCCGGGTGTCCGCCGCGCAGGGCGCGTCCTTTGTCTGCTCGGCGGCGCCGGGTGCCCGAGGCCCGCGCCCCGCTTTCTGGGTAGACAAAGCCGGGGCAGCCGCGAACCCGGCCGGCTCCAACGCCGCTCGCGCCTCCCCGACGTCCCGCCCCCTCCCCTCCGCGTCCTCTGATTGGTCCGCGCCGTTACAAAGAGGCCGGGAAGCGGGCGGGTCACGTGGGTGGACGCGGCTTTCTATTGGCCGAGCTTGGCTGTCTATCCAGGAGGGCGGGCCGTGCGCGCTCCGCCCCGGTCTCTCCCTCCGCTCCGAGGCCCGCCCGCGGGGCCGGCCGCCTGTCAGAGGGAGGTGGCGATGGTGCGCCCGGTGGCGGCGGCGGCAGCGGCGGCGACGGCTTCCTCGGTCGGACGGCAGGGAGGAGAAGATGACTGACCGGCCGACTGGATGAATGAATGAATGGCGGAGCCGAGCGCGCCATGAGGAGCCTGCCGAGCCTGGGCGGCCTCGCCCTGTTGTGTTGCGCGGCGGCCGCCGCCGCCGCCGCCGCCGCTTCAGCAGCCTCGGCGGGGAATGTCACCGGGGGCGGCGGGGCGGAGGGGCAGGTGGTCGTGTCGCCCACCCCGGGGCTGCGGGACCAAGCCGGCCACCCCTTCTCGAAGGCCGCGGCTCCCACGGCGCAGGCCCCGCGGAGCGGCCCCCCGCGCACCCCAGTCCGCAGAGCCGGGGCTGCGACCCCGTCAGCCGGCTCCCCGGAGACCACCCCTCTCCGCACCACCGCGCGACCCGCCGCCGCCACCTTCCCGGTTCTAGGCCCCTCGCCCGCCACCCCTTCGGAGGAGGGAGGCACTCCCGCCGCCACCCAACCGCCAGCCTCCAGACCCGCACCCAGCACCCTTGAGAGCACAGCGGGCCAGGGGCCGACCACCCCTCTAGTCACCACCGCTCAGACGCCCAGCACTCCCGGGACCCCGACCGCCCAGTCCCCGGACAGCAGCAACAGCAGCAGCAGCAGCAGCAGCAGCAGCAGCAGCGTCCCGCCCACCGCACCTGCCACCGAAGCCCCTGCTCCTCCTCCCCCAGGTGAGTCCCGGCGCTTCCTCGCCCCCTGTACCTTCCCTAGCCACTGCCCATCTTCACCCCAGCCTCTGTCACCCCCGTTCTGGCCGCTTCTTGTCCTAGCGACTCCCAAGGGACGATCCAGGCTCCAGCTACACTCAATCCCCATCCCTCCAAATCTAGAAAGTCTTTTGTCGTCCCCCCACCCACCCACCCAAGAGGGAGCGGCTACTTAGCGTCTCTTCCTAAAACAGGGTTTTCTAGCCTTTGTCAGAGTCCCAGAATGGACGCAAACTTTTGGGATCTGCCCAGAAGGCCACCCTGCCTGGGTTATTTGGGGGGAAGTTTGAAAGCTGGCATGGTGCTCTGTCAACACACAGGTAGAAACCTGAAGGGATTCTTCCAAAGCTCCAATTTCCTTGTTTGTTTCTTTTTGCTAGTGTAGTTAACAAATGCTTTTGTGAGGGGGGGGGAACGGGGGGGGGGGGAGACATACAGGGTGGATTTTGCTTACAAACAGGCCACTTCAGGCCTGAAATTAAAAAAATAAAAACAGCATTGTAATCCATATCCTCTCTGCAAATAAGTAGACTTGGTAGGCCATTTGGGACAGGTGTGTATCTAGGTTGCACGTTTATAAATTAGGTTAAATCCCTTCCTTGTACTATTTCATTTTGTCTCAATTCCAAGGTCAGTGTTTGGGCAAATGTCATTTAAGCAAGGATGTCCATTTTTGCCCTTTTAAAATTGGAGTGTTCCTTACTGCTGATGCTGACATGCCCATTTCTGTTTGAGCTCACAATAGGAAATACAGCTCTTTCGCTAGTAAAAGTCTTCAAGCAAAGTTAAGAGACAACTGCTGTTCTTTCACCTCTTTGCATCTTAAGTGGGCCAGGAACTCAACCAATAAAGCCTACCTCTTTAAGACATTCAGCAAGTTTCTGAGATCTTTTGCTTTGCATTGGGGTAGAGATTTGCCCAAAGCACTTGTCTAGCTTGATCTGATCATTGACCTAATTCTTTGGCTCAGTGGTTTACTGTGGAGTCAGGTATGGACTTTGGACTATAATTGAGTTGGTAGAGGATTTTCCCAGATGGTTAAGTCTTGAATTGTATGTTGGAGCTTGGCAAAGGCATAAATAGGAATGCAGATTATTCACCCCCAAGAAGCCACATTTGGATCTCTTTCAGTTTCAAGGAATGTATTAACTAGCTATTTTTTTAACCTATTTGATACTTTTTGGCTTTATAAAAAGAGATTGACATATTACTAAAGTTAGACTAGTAGTTAAGTGTAGACTCTGAAGTCCATTTTTAGGTTTGAATTCCAGCTTATTTCCCCCTTTTGCCTGTGTTAAGTGTGAACAGGTCACTTAGTCCTTGATTTAAGGCAACCTGGACAACATAGCAAGACTATGAAGAAAGACAAAAATAGTGGAGAGAGGTTAGGAGAGGGAAGAAAAAATTCACTAAGTTAATGCATACCTAACTAGCGCTTAGAATGGTTCCTGCTGTGTGATAAGGACCACATGTATGTCATTTCCCCTGATGACCAGCTCTTTTTTTCTAACTGGAAAACTATTAGAGAAGCTGAGTGGCAACTTGTGATTTTTATACTTTGCTTTGGTAAATAGAAAAAAGATGTTAGAATTTCTGGAGTTTTAAGCACACAATATTTAAGTAGAAAATGCTTGCTTTTGTTTGTATCTGATAAACACACAGTTGATGTTACTTCACTTTTATCATTTTGAATTCTTACTGTCAAAAGAGATAATCAGAAGCCTACAAAGAAAAAGGTAAAAGCCACTTTATCACTGCTCTCTAGTTCCAGTCCCTAGAGGTTACTCCTCTTAGCAGTTTGTTGGATCTTTAAAAAAAAATTTCTGGGCATATTTCAACACACAAATACTTTAAGATAATTTTTAAGGCTCAGAGATAGAGATTTGCTTAGTGTGCAGAATCTCTGACACCATCAAAACTTAATCAAATAGTTTATAAAATTAAAATGCAATCATTCCATACATATTGTTTCATCTTGATATATTCACTTAACTATGTAACATAAAAATTTTTTTCATATTAATACCTAGGACCTACATTATTATTTCCAATAGTTGTATTTTTTATTGTAAATGTTCACAGAATAAGCAGACTTGTTTAACCAGTTCTTTATTAATTAATTTAACCAGTTCCTAATTTATATATACATAGATTACTTTGAAAATTACAGAGAAGAATGTATTAAATCTATCATATATTTATTATATCCTCTAATATTTTGATGCCAAATCAGTACTTATAATTCAAATCAATTTAAGTGAAGCAAATCTGAGGTGATGAATATTTGCCAATTTGAACTATTTTTAGTGTTTTTCCATAGGCTAATATCTGTATGGTTGTCTTTCTGTAGCAAACACTTGGGGATATCCAACTGAGGTCATTTCATTTACCTTTGTTTAAATAGTCTGTAATTTATTCTCTTCTGTGAATTCATTCTGTTGTCTATGTTTAGTTCAAAGGCTTGACTGACTTTGTGGCTTTCTGGTAGGTAATCTTAGCTTTACAGTGATATAATCAAGTGGGACTTTTTAATTGTAGCATGGGTTCCATCTACTTTAGATAGTAAGCATAGCTGTTCAACAGAGGAAAATGTCTCTATGAATTTGAGAGAGCTAATTTGGCTTGCAAAGCTGGATTTCCTGCCATTGGGGAAGGTGGTTGTAGAATTTATTTCAACATTTCTGTGAGAACTGGGTACCATTTACTCTATCATTTGAGTGGACAGGTCTTATATGAATCAGTAAGAATTTCTCTCCAGGAGATTTAGCTGAAAGCTCTTACCTACCCATCAGTTAGGGCCCAGTTGTTTGCTGGGACACTGATCTGCAAACTGAAACTAATTACCCAGCAAACAGGCACTCTTCTCTCACAACCCTGGCACAACACTGTAGGGATTGGTTGGATGAAGGGTGGAGAGAAATTCTATGCTCTTACTAGAGAGTAATAATCAGCAGTAAGGCCCTGAGGTAATGACAAATGCTTGCTTGCTTGTTTGTTTTAAATGGACTTCTGAGGCTGGTAGGAGCTTAGAAGCCATTAAGGCCCAGCATGACTCTACATTTTAAGAAATGCTTATATAGCCTTAGGTGAAACACCTCTGCCTGTCCCTAACATCTGACTAGATGGATTGGCCTTTGGGAGTATGTACAACAAGTCTGCTTTCTCAGTGCACTTCTTTAGATTTTGCAGATGTGATCGTACTCTGAGTCTTAGCTGCATAACCTCAGCTTCTTCAATTGGTCTTTGACATGGTTTCATATTTCTTCACTTTCCTGGTCACCTCTATTCTGAATCTTTTTAGTCTTTGTGTGACTCTCCTAAAACAGAAGAGAACTTAACCTAATAGTCTAGATGTACTCCAGCATATCTCATAGCAGAGAGAGTGGTTACCTTGTTCCTTCTGGGTACAATAGTGATTATGTATTTAGTTCCCTAAGCACAGAAACTTTTTTTTTTGGCAGCCAAATTATGTTGTTAATTCATTGAGTATATCAAGATATCAGACTATTTTAACTTCTTTATATTTTTTTTTAAAAAAATATGTGTTAGATAAATCTTCTTTTATCTGGACTTAAGAAAGTTTTGTGATTTTCTAAAATATAATCTAAAGCATTTGAAAAGCTCTTAAGATTGATTATGGTAAATTCAGATGATCTTTTTCACTCCAAATTTGTCAGTGTACTCCACCCAGGTTGTTCACATGACTTACAGGGTGTTCCTCTAGACCAAGTCTAAGGACAAGTCAGGGCAGGTTATCCTTACCTCACTGGAAAAAGAAATGCATGGATGGTAAAACAGTTTGGAAGGGAAGGGATAATAGTTTAGACTAGTTCTCAAAGTTCTCTTCCAGCTCTTAAGGTCTGTGATGATTAGGTGTACATGATTCAAGGTACATGTATACCCCATAAAGAGTCTTTAATTATTTACTTATGATCCAGACTACAAGAATAGACTTTGTTTAAGCAAGCCCCAGAATCCAGTTGAAATCTCTAACTACTATGAGGTATGAATGCAATATTACAAATGGAGTCTATTTGATTTGTTTTATTTGCTTGGTTTTGTTTGAGATAGGGTCTAGCTCTATAGCTCAGACTGACCTCTAACTTGTCATCCTCTTGCTGCTATCTCCTGGATGGTTAGATGTGCCACCATGCCTGGCTCTTCACAGTCGATTTGAAAGGAACATTCTAGAAACTCAGGATCTCCTAGCTGGACCAGAAAATGCTTTCTTTATCCTAATAGTCTCTACTACTAAAGCCCAGAGTCTTATTGTATGTGGTTATTTGCGACTGTTACATTTCTTTTGTGGAAATACAAACTGTATAGGCTCCAAAGATAATAAAGATTCAGAGTCTTTTATCTAAAACCTGTGTGTTTTCATGTATTGGAGAATATTTCAGATTTTAGAAAGTGGACAAATCTGTTATGGTGAAGCTAGAAGAATACCTAGTAACCAGACTAATGAAGACATCCATATCAACATGTGCATTCAGTGGGATAAGGACCTTAAGTAGCCTTGCATTCGATCAGGTCAGGCTTTGTTGGCATGCCCATTCAGGGAAGGGCTTGCAGGACAGACAGTCTGGTTCTTTACCTGTCTTGGAATACATACATACAAGCACTTCCCTCCGCATTTAGATAAGGTCTCACTATATTGCCTGGGTTGGCCTTGTATTCATGGACTCAATCCATCCTTCTGCCTCAGCCTAAGTAACTGGAATTACAGGAGCTCACCATTATGCCTGAATTCATGATAGTTTCCTTCAACATTTGTTGGGCAGGACTTGTAGCAGCTGGCCAATACTTAAAAACCACTCTTGAGCCCTATCTCTGCTTGTGGCCATTTGACAAAAGAGGGGTAAAGCAAAGTCTTGGCTCAACCCTGCCAAATGAGGACAGAAGAATCCTGTGGTCAATATTTTTCTGCGCCTGCCTGGGAAGGGGACTAGGTTGACCTGAGGCAG